AGAGAGAGAGAGAGAGAGAGAGAGAGAGAGATAGATAGATAGATAGATAGATAGATAGATAGATAGATAGATAGATAGATATAAATGATGAGAGAGAGAGAGATCGCTAGAGAGAAAGAGATGATGAGAGAGAGAGAGAGACAATAGAGATAGAGATAATGATGATGATGATAGATGATAGAGATAGATGATAGATTGAGATAGAGATAGAGATAGGCACACATACACAATACAGTTGAAGGCTAAGTGTCAAAGTGTGTCAGTGTGTAAAAAAGCTGCTGCTGTGAACAGGCTTTTTTATCCCAAATATTCTGTATTTTAATGTTCCTTTTTTGTGTGTGGGTATGACAATAAACTCTTTAAAATAAACTTTCAGGCAAAATGTGATTTGTTTGATTTTGCCTTGGAGCAAAATGTGCCCCAGTTACTGTGATCTATGAACCATGGTTGTGACAGAGAGTGTGGCATATCTATTTAGACTGTGTATCTGGCTGGGAAGGAATAGGCTCCAACTCAACCCTAGCCAGACAGAGTAGCTATGAATATGAGGGTACTCTGGATCTGGAGAACTTCCATTGTAAACTCTGGATGGAGTACCAATCTCATTGATTGAGTTGGTACACAAACTGGGGGGTCTTCCTAGACTTATAACTCCTGCTCGAGAAGCAGGTGGCAGCCATGGCCAGGTGGGCCTTTGCACAAATCCATCTTATGCACCAGTTGTGCCCATTCCTAGTTTGTAAGGCTCTGCTCATAGTTAGTCACTTCCTGGTTGGACTACTGCCCTTGAAAAGCATTTGGAAGCTACAGCTGATTTACAAGGTGATGGTGTGGACAATTTTGGGCACAGCTGATTATTATTATCTGGGGTCTTTTATTCTTCTTCTACTGTTCTTATATGTATGCTTTTGATTTTATACCTTGTTAGCAGCCCAGTTATTGAAGATAGGTAGCCATATAAATGTGCAGAATTAAACAAACCAACCAACCATTTTTTAAAAATATTACTGTTATTCACAATTGTTTCTACTGTTTTGGGAATGTTATCTATGTAAGATCTGCTTTGTGCGATCAGGTGAGTAAAAGAACCCTATACAATTTATCAGTAGGTGCATTCAGGGCTGTCAGAAATTATTCTACAGGGAACAGATAAATACAGAAGTCATGATATCTATCACAACACACGCACACAAAAACTATTTTAAACTCATTATTTAAAAATTTAGGAACTATGAAAGACAGTTGCAAATTATTATTAATTTTCACTATTAAAACAATTTTCATTTAATTTAACTTTGGGTAAAAATGTACACATTCAACATTCAGTTTTCCTAATACTGGCCGCCTTTCAGATTGGCTTTGGGATTTCTTTGTGTGCATAAGAAGAAAACTGAAAATCATAGTACATTTGAATAAGTGGACGAACCAATTTTTTTTTTTCCAATATCCTATTGGTATAAATACAAAGATGCAGCAAATTCAGGAGCATTTTTCAGAAGAACCAGTCTTCCAGATTCTATATCTTAAACAAGACCATATCCTTTCATCTCCATTATGAACACAAAAGGTTGGCTTCTGCAAATTTGTCTAGCAATGTTCTTCACCAAAATCTCATCTCAGCACTGTGATCAACTTCACAGAAGACTACACAAAGCCAGCAAAGGAAACTTGAAACTCTTGGGTAGTAATATAAGAGCCACCATTCCCCTACAATGTATCGGAGATATTATAGACTTCTCACATGTCAATGAAGAAAATTTGATGAGCATGGATGGAGCATCCCATGAAGAGAATGCCAAGATAACAATACAAGAAATGCTCCAACAGATAGACCTCATCTTCAAGCAAGTTCATGCTGAATTGTTTTGGGATGAGAATTCCCTAAGGCAATTCCATACTGGATTGTATCAGCAAATTAAGGAACTGGAAATATGCCAAAATGCAGAGATAGGAGATGGCACCATATCCGCAAGGGATCAGAAACTACAGCTCACCAGACTGAGAGTGAAAAGATATTTTCAAAGGCTCAGTGATTACCTGAAAGATAAGAAGTACAGCTTGTGTGCCTGGGAGATAGTCCAGATCCAACTCAGGGAATGTTTCCTATTGATTAATGAACTCATCCAAAGGATTCCAACATTGTACTTCTTAAAATGACTTTTGATTAGAATTGAAGGGAAAATTAGGAAAATTTACAGTTACTTCTTACTGATATGTACACCAAATTCTTTCTTCTGTCCTCAAAAATCTCCATATGATTCTTTTGAGAAGCATTTTATGAATTACCTGAATATTATAAGTTCGACAAAAATTATGCTCATGTCATATCTGAAGACATGAATATCTTTATTAACAATCTACATTGTGGTTTTTCTGTATTCTCAGATGGGAATTGGTACACTCTTCACCCACATTCTTAAATACAGTAGTTCCCACTGAAGAGTTTAGGCTAGGAATTTTCTATTTCATCTCTGAATTGTACTCAAGGTCCCACTTATATTAGTGGGACCTTTAGATCCCACTAATATAAGCAGCTATGAAGAAGCATCCTTTTCTTGAAAAGTGATCCCACAACTCACTTGTGAACCATGTGACTATAGGATTATCAAATGGTGTCAGTGAAAAATAAACCTCCTTCTATAAAAATCCCTCATTCTAGAATTCCCCACCATTTGGAATTACAATACAGAAAATTATTTATTGTGTGGTTTCTTCTGAAAGGCCTCTGAATGGCTATTTTGCATCTAAAAAAGAAACTGCTACATAGATTTTGTGACTACGGCTTTAATATATAGCTCCGCATAGGTCTCTCGCATCTAGACTACTTCTTTTAATTAAATTACTGCGACTCTTTGACCTTTTGAATTTGTTATATTAGGGCAAAATTGAATGGCAACTCAATCAACTATAAAAATAATAGGACTATGCAAATAATTGGACAACACATTTTGTTCATGAGTGAAATGCCTCTCTGGATCCATTTCTCAAAGTGGCAAAGCAGATGCAGTCACCCCAAGGCAGTGTTTCGAAATCTTGGCAACTTTAAGATGTATGGACTTCAATTCCCAGAATTCTCCAGCCAGCTTTGCTGGCTGG